AAAGGTAGTAATTTTAACCTAGTGGGATATGCTAACGCTGATTATGCAGGTTTCCTTGTGGATAGGAAGAGCACCTCAGGTATGGCATACTTCCTTGGTTCATGTCTTGTGTCATGGGCTACCAAAAAGCAAAATTCAATGGCCTTATCTACTGCTGAAGCGGAGTATGTTGCTGCCGCTTCATGTTGTGCTCAATTGCTATGGATCAACCAACAATTATTGAACTTTGGAATTAATGTTAGTTGCATCCCTTTTTTTTGCGATAACACTAGTGCTATTAGTATGACAAACAACACGGTTCATCATAAGAGAACTAAGTACATAGATGTTAGGTACCAGTTTTAAAGGGACAACTATGAGAAAGGCTTGATCACTGTGGAGTTTTGTGCTACTGACAAGCAAATTGCTGACATCTTCACAAAAGTCTTAGTTAGAGAACACTTTGAGAGGAACATGTTGGAATTAGGGATGATTAAGATCACCTAAAAGGACCAGTTCAATTGTTAGAAAGTCTGCAAATTGTGTATAAGTATATTAAATCTTGCTCAGTCTCATACTTTCCATAGTATACTCTTGTGCCATGTGTTAAAATGACTCATTAATCTCTATTGATATTTTCTCTATTTTGGCAAATTTAGACTCACACAAGAGAATTATCACTGAAGAACCTGGTTCATCAAGATAACACGGTATGTTTTCTACACTCTGCATAATTTCAAATAACTATATTTGGATCATGAGCAGAGTCCTACCAAATACCAAATTCCTTTTGAACTTATCCGTTACAAGTGAACTAGTCCCGTTCAAAAGAGTCCCAACCGAATGGAAGTACCTAGATTCTAGGGATACACTCCAATGTCTCTTCAAAGCTGAATTTCAGTTTGATTAAAACTTCTAAGAGTCTGAAAAGCTGTAGTTACCCCATCAATTGTTCCCCTGTATATTGATCAGCTTTAGTGTATTCCTTACTTTATTTCTCTCAAGCGGTTAAAAACTCTCATTCTTCTTTCATCTTCCAAACACAATCTAATTCTCTTCTCTTCCATACCCTAGCCCAGATATGTCGAACACCTCTGAAAATCCTTGATCACCACCACAGGAAACCACTTCCATACCTTCTACAACACCAATCTCTAAGAAAAGATGATGGCTCGTAAGATTGTCGCTGAAGGAGAGAAGATCAAGAAAATGAACAATCAATTGAAAGCAGGTAGGGAAGAAGAATCCATAAATCTGAAAATTCATTTAAGTCTGCTACAAAGGGGGAAGAAAGTAGGTATATTCCGAAACTGAACAGGTATCTTCTGATTCTAAAGTTACTCCTGAGATAATTTTTTAAGTTGCTGCAAATTTAGAGAATAGATTTGTACTGGTAGGATCTTTAGCAGGTACAGTTGGTGGTAAAAATAAAAAGGGAAAAGAAAAAGAGAGCAAGGATGCTAGGAGTGCTGCTAGGGGAAAGGGTAAAAGAATGATTGATTCTTCAGCCACTCCTGTTGGTCTAACAAAAGAAACTGGTGCAATGGTTGTTTGGCGAGAGGAATTTACTGAAATAGAAGAGAGTGTGAGCAACACAGGGGGAAGTGGGTCTGGCGAAGCTGCTGAGGGTTTGGTTCAACTTGGAAAAAATATAGATTAACCTGTTCCATCTAAGCATGAAACCCTTTTGGACCTACTGATAGGGTTATCAATGTCAACAAAACACATGCCATTCCCTATGGTTTCATTCTCACAACTGTGCTTGCACATTTCAAGGTACAAGCAAGGATCATTTCGGGGTTAATACTCTGCTTGCTTGCGATTATGAAGTCAATGTCATTCCTAATGAACCTGGTTCATCTAAAAAGACACCTATCAATAGCAAAGTCAGAGTCAGGCAAAGGAAGTTGAGATAGCAAGGCTGAAGACACGATTGGTTGCGGTAGAATCTGAGAGAGGTGTTCTCAGAACTGATCTTGCAAGGGAAAAGGAAAAGAATGATGGAATTCTTCAAGACATGCTGAAACTTCTCCAAGCAAATAACCTAGCCCCTACCTCTTCCAAGCCTTAAATCTTAGCCTAGTATAGATCAACCAGTGACCCAATTCGAGACTTTTTGTTTCTTTTGCTGATGTTTTCAGTATTTTTATTTCTTCTTATGCTCTGTGGTAGAATCTTATCAATCATCAATGAAATTCATTGTCTTTTGCTCTAACTTTTTGTTTATATTTCTTCGATGGTTAAAATACTTAGCTTGATCTATGATGATTAATTCATGATTGCATTTGAAGTAGCCCAGTGGCCATGAGTAAGTTTTAAAATCTGGTTATCTCACATTTCTATGCAACTTTTCGATGATGCCAAAAGGAGAAAAAAGGTTGTGCTTTAAACAAGTGATGTTTACACTTTGAACAGTTGATGTTTATAACCTAATGTACCTGGTCCTTGATGATAAGTGATAAAAAGGAAAAATATTTCTAACATTGTGTTGATGTTGAGCTGAGTTCTGGCAGGTCCTAAGTTTATGAAAAGCACAGAGTTTGTTATCATCAAAAAGGGAGAATTCGTTGGCCCAAGTAAAGGTTAGTTTTGAAGACTGACAAAGGAACTCAGACATGAACCAGGTCCATCCCTCAGGTGCACAAAAACGGGCAGATTCAAGCATGTGGGATGCACGTGAAGGAGATAAGCTTAACTTGGTGTATTTAATATCTCCTGATCGAAAAGGTTGCATAATTGATAATGAGAAGGACTCCTTACTCAAAGAGAACACTATCCAAGATAGGGAAGGAGTTAGAAGTTGAAATCAACTATAACTCTTTTACCAAGGAAGAGTTGCATCAGAACTCTAGTTATTTCTTCATCTACTAACTCTATAAATTACAGGATGTTCTCACATTACAAGTGTTGCACAACAACGCAGAAGTTAAATGTGAATTGAGAGCAAAATAACAAGGATTTTTGCAAGCAGTTCGTGTGTGATTCAAGTGTGCAAACCTGAAGCTACATGAACCAGATTGAAGAACCAGCTCCATAAAGAGTTCTATGTGTCTTTCTTTATTTCTAGTTCAATTGTAGTAGGTGTTTTATATTTTACCTTTCAGCTTTATCTAGAAGTAATTGTAATAGGTACTTTGAGTATTCAAGTTAGAAGTAACTTGAAGTTGTCGCAGCAGTTAGAGGCTGTGTGCTACAACGGGATTAGAGGTAATCCTTAGGTTTACAAAGAGTTTTGCAAATGCTGTTTTGGCTCAGTGGTTTAGTGAAGTGTTGGGGAAAATCCTACTGAGTAGTAGGTCGTGGTTTTTTCACCTTTTGAGCCATGTATTTTTCACGTAAAAATCTCTGTGTTATTTATTTTCTGTATTTATTATTCTGCAAACAGCAATAGTTGGAACACCTAGAAGAACTAGGTCCTTCTATAGTTCAGATAAGTGAAAATTTGGGTACCACACAAATCACCCCCCTCTTGTGTAGTATTGACGTTTAGAACATCACTATTATTTATCTCAGAGCTGGAATTAATTATCTTTGGATAAAATTTACCCCAAATATTTTTATTATATTGATTTAACTAAGAAGATCTAATACTTTTTAGTCAAACAATTACTTCACTCATTCGAGTAAGTGGGCGAGCCAAGTATCTATTTCACACGTCTTCCTTTTTTTTCGTTAATCCAATTGGAATATAGAATTTTTTTATCAGTTTCTAACTCCAAGAATTCAAAAGTATTCAAGAAGAGAGCTTTTCTCTATCATTGGAGTAGGTACGTTTTCCTTTTTGCCTAATCCGGCAAGAAACATTAAGGAGCAGTAAAACAACTTAGGTTAAGTCGTTCTGTACCTATCATCAATTTTTTTGCTTAAAAAAAGGGAACGGGAATACACTACTTGTTTGATCTGTATCTGCGGGTTATCTTAAGGCTGAATATATAGAGATCAACTTCAAATTTTGTCCAAAATTTTCATTTAGACACCTTAGATGTTTAACGTATTGAACACATTATATCATTGAAAATACGTTTAATGAATACATATTTGGCAGTTTTAAACAAATTAAAATGCGTAAATGATACTCGCTGTCTGACTCTGACCATACCTTTGCACAAAATCTAAACTTGGTAGGAGTCTTCATGTAAGCCTGCAAACTACAAAGGTTGTTCATGGGGAGGACTCGTGGATTGAGACCAAAGGGTTGGCTCAGTAGGTTAGACATCTTCACTTTCAATCAGTAGATCAGAAATTGTTACGTTGGAGGTATGTGGTGAACGACATAGGAGCAGGGGCGGAGCCATAGTGCCGGCTACGGTTTGGCCGAACCCAATAACTTTGATTCAAATCTTGTATTTATTTTTAAAAAATTCATTAATTATGTACAAATATTAATTTAGAACCCTTAAGTTAAAATGTTAAAATCCCGAACCCATAAACTTGAAATCCTAGCCCCGCTTTATCAAGATAGTTACATTACGAGCTTCTATGGTGATTTTAGAATATTCAAAAGGGAGAGAAAAACATCTGGGAGGAGAGCAGAAGAAATGAAATTGTGAAATATGACTCTCATCTCCACTATTACAATGTGTATATATATGTACACGTGTGAAAGTAAAAGTAAAAGAAGTAAAAGAAAGTTGCTGACTCAGCTAGTACAATTAACTTAGCTAACTAACAGTAACAAACAAAATGCTTAATATTGAATCTAACTAAACATATCTCAATACCCCCCTCAAGTTGGATGGGAGGACCTCACAGCCAACTTGCCGAGCATAGCATGATGTTTGACTCCTGTGAGTGCTTTGGTAATAATGTCAGCTAATTGATCAGTAGTGCTACATGTTGAAGAGAGATCAACCCTTCCTGATGTTTGTTCCTTACAAAATGGCAGTCGACCTCAATGTGTTTTGTCCGTTCCTGAAAAACACGATTTTGAGCAATGCGGATAGCAGATTGGCTGTCACAAAAGACAGTAATGGGACTGGACTGTGGGATAGTAAACTCTTCAAACAGCCTGTTTGACCATATCAATTCTCCAACCACTTCCTGAGGGACCTGTACTCAGCCTCAGCTGAGGACAAGGAAATGGTTTCTTGCTTCTTTGATTTCCAACTAATGGGACTGTCTCCAACTAGAACAATGTAGCCAGTGATAGATTTTCTTGAGTCACGGCATGATGCCCAGTCAGAGTCACAGTAGGCAGAGATGGAACAATCAGTGTTGCTGGAAAAAAATATGCCAAGTGTGGGATCTATCTTGAGGTACCTGAGGAGATAAAAAGCTGCTGTCAAGTGTGTATCTCTAGGTGCTTGCATGAACTGGCTGAGAAGCTGTGCACTGTAGGCTATGTCAAGTCTTGTGACGGTGAGGAAGTTCAGCTTGCCCACTAATTTTCTGTAATATGTAGGGTCTGGAAGAAGAGTGCCCTTATCAGCTTTCAACTTCACAGCAGGATCAAGGGGAGAGGACAAGCTGCTGTAAGCAAAACAATCATATTCCTTCAACTAGTCTAGGGTGGTGAACTTCCTTTGAGATATGATGACACCATCTGATTTGTAGAGGACCTTTAGGCCCAAGAAGTAATGAAGTTTCCCCAGGTCCTTAATTCTGAATTGCTTGTCAAGAAATGATTTCAAATTGGCTATCTCTACTGAATCAGTACCAGTGATGATAACATCATCAACATAGACAACTACAAAGATAATGTGGGAAGAAGTCTTCTTGGAGAAGAGTGAATAATCATTCTCAGAGTGTTTGTACCCCATTGATGACAGGGCTTCACTCAGCTTGGCATACCATTGCCTGCTGGCTTGCTTCAGTCTATACAATGATTTGTTGAGTTTGCAAACCACCTTTTGTGGACCAGTCTGATCATAAGAGACCTGGTGGCACCTCCATATGCACTTCTTTGTATAGGTCACCATGGAGGAATGCATTATTTACATCAAGCTGAAATATATCCCAGCCTTTCTTCACAATAACAGTGACCAAAACTCTAACTGTTGTCATCTTGACAATAGGAAAAAGTTCTCTGTATAGTCAATCCCTGCTTGTTGAGTATACCCCTTTACCACTAATCTAGCCTTAAATCTCTATTTACTACCATCTGCTTTGTGCTTAATTTTATAGATCCATTTACAGTCTATTGCCTGCTTTCCAACTGGCAAGGGGACTAAGTCCCAAGTGTTATTTGCATAGAGGGCCTCAAACTCCTGTGTCATGGCTGCTTGCCATGCAGGACTGAGTGATGCCTCTCCATATGAAGATGGCTCACTATCATGACAAATATTTGTCACTAAGTGCTGACTTTTAGAACATAAGGCATCAGATGTAACATAACTACGATTAGAGAAAAGTGCACTCAAAGGAGATGGATCGTGAGGAGCATCAGGATGTGATGTGTTAAGCAGATTATAGATGTAATCCTTAAGGTAGGTAGGAGTTTTATGGGTTCTACTGGTTCTTCTTAATGGAGGTGTTTCTGATTGGGCAGATATTGGTGAATGAGGACTGGTAATTTCATGTGTAATTATAGGGATAGGAGAATGGTGAAAGGACTGAATGTCTGATGTGTGCATTGTGGTTTCATTAGCAGATGAGGATTCAGGGGATTGGTGCATATATGGAGATGTGATACTTGTAGGAGTTTGAGCATTAGAATGTGGACTGCTATTCTCAGAGTGAACAGGAAAAGAGTTTGACTTGATGATATTATACAAGGAGACATTCTTAGACCCTAAAGAGAAAGGAAAGAGACTTTCATAGAGTACTACATCTCTAGAAACATGAATCTTCCTAGGGGCTAGGCTTAACACTTTGTAACCCTTTGTCCCAAAGAGATAGCCCACAAAAATATGAGGAGTGGTTCTAGGCTCAAATTTGTCTCTGTGCACCTTAGGCACAGTAGGATAACAGAGATACCCAAAGCTCCTCAAGTGAGAGTAAATGGGCTTTTTGTGATATAAGAGCTTAAAAGGACACTTGTTGTTCAAGTAGGTAGTAGGCCGTTTGTTAATCAGTCAAGTTGCTGTCAAAATACATTCTCCCCAATAATTTAGTTGGTAGTTTATATTAAAACATAAGTGCCCTAGCAGTTTTAAAGAGATATTTGTGTTTCCTCTCTACTACTCTATTTTGTTGTGGAGTATAAGGGCAGGTTTTCTAGTAAATAATGCCTTTAGTTTGATAGAAGGTGGTGGCTTCATGGCTGGTAAACTCCAGTTCATTATCAGACCTGATGGTTTTTACAATGGTGTTAAATTGGTTCTCAATCATGTTTACAAAAGCTTTAAGGGTTTGTAGGGCATTGCTCTTGTTGCTTAACAAATGAGTCCAAGTGGACCTACTGAAATCATCCACCAAGGTAAGGAAGTATTTATAGTTATTGTGTGTAGCAACATGGTAGAGGCCCCATATGTCAACATGTATTAATTGGAACATTTGGGTGTAGGTGCTGGTTCTTTGTGGAATTGGAAGTCTGGCTTGTCTAGCCATGAGGCAAATGGAACAAATGAAAGGTTGTCTGGGTGAGAAGTCCACATGTATTGAGGATATTCCTTTCATCTTGACAAAAGGAACATGGCCAAGCCTATTATGCCACTAAATATTTACATCATGTTTGTCTAACACATTCAAAGAGTCACTCTTATTATTGTGAATGGAAGTATTAACATTTGTTGAATAAGACTGTGAATGAGGAGGACTACTAAAGACTCCACTATTTGTACTAGCAGAAACAGAACAGTTGCAATAAGAAATTGGCAGACTAGTATTTGAAACAACACTTTTACCCTTTAGACACTTGGAATAGAGGTAGTATAATCCCTCTCTGCTACTACCAATCACCTGAGGCCTCTTCACTGAAGGGTCCTGCAATAGACATAGTGCATTAGAGAAAAATACAATACACATGAGATGTGTTGCAAGAGAATTGACAGAAATCAAATTGTACTTAATTGTACTTAATTGAGTATCACATCCCCAAATTGAAGCACTTTCACCTTGTATCCATTTGGTAGACTTATCAACAAAGGGTATGGTAATGTTGTTATGTTACTAAGTGCAATTTTATTAAAGGTCATATGGTTAGAGTCTCCTGAGTCTATGATCCAAAAGTCAGTCTTAGATTCGAAACATTTTCACGATGGTTTGTCAAAATCAATAGAAGAAGTGCAGACCACAATACCTATAAAGTTAACAGCACCACTGGTGATGTTGGCATTGCTGGGAGATGTTCCTCCTGTGTGAAAATGTTGTAACAAGTTCATTATCTTCCCATATTGCTCTTTTGTCAAGTTGACATTCTGATTCTCACCATGCAGGATTGGATTATCTTCCTTTTCATGCAGCAGATCAGTTGGGACTCCATGTACATTTGCCACAACTCCTTTCCCTCTATTGAATTTGTGTCCTTGAGTTTGACTTGAGTTGTTTCCCTGATTGAATTGTTGAGTGTTAGTGCAATTTGAGTTTTGGTTGTTATAAGGATTGTTCTGGGGATATCCGTGTAGTTTGTAACACTTGTCCTTTGTATGGCCTGGCCTTTTGCAATAGTCACAAAATGGTCGACCCTTGTTGTTGGCAGTGTAATGTGTTTTGAAGTTCTGAGCTCCAAAAGGATTTTGATGTTGTGAAGGTACAGTATTCACATGAAGTGAGGTAGACTCTAGGCTCAGCTGATTGTTTGGTTTGAACTCCCTTTGCTTTTCCTCTTGTACTAACAGAGAGAAGGCTTGTGCCAATGATGGTAGAGGTTTAATCATTAAAATGATTCCTCGCATTGTTGTGTAGACTTCGTTCAAGCCCATCAGAAACTGAATGAGTCCTCTGTCCTGTTCTACCTTATGCATAGTATCCTCTGACCCACATGTACAAACACAGGTGCATTGGGATTTGGCACTGAGATTGCTCAATTCTTCTCATAGCCTTTTCATTCGCGTGTAATAAGCAGTAATATCCAAAGATCCTTAAACGAGATCATTGATCTCTTTTTGAATCTGATACAGCTTTGCACCATTCGTTTGATCATATCGATCATCCAATTCTCTCCATAATTCTACTGAATCACTGACATATTCAACACTGTCAGAAATTTATTTTGCAAGGGAATTGAGAATCCAAGAAGTCACCATGTCGTCACATCTCTCCAATTGACGAAATTGAGGTGAATTGGGAGGAGGCTTCCTACAATCCCCATTTATGAACCCTAATTTATTTTTGACCGACAGGGCTCTCAATACGCTCCTCCTCCATGACCTATACCCAATTCCATCAAAAGGAACTGGTACTAGAGTCACTTCGGGACTATCCGAAGGATGAATGTATAGAGGGCTACTTACATCGATGGCTGGTTGATCGTTCCTACTCGTATTGGGGGTGAGTTCTTCGGTTTGATCGATCACCATGAAAGAAGCTCTATATGATGTAATTTGACTAATATCCTAAGAAAAATAGTGAATAGACTGTCCGATCTTGCAGAAAATGCCTTTACTTCACATAAAATTGTAGCTCGAAATCGCAAAATCAAAACCTAGCAGATGACGGAGAGAAAGAGGCCTTGATTAAGAAAAACTCCGGCAGATCTCAGGCGAGCATATTACGCTGGCTCTGATACCATATCAAGATTGTTACGTTAAGCGAGGATAAATGTAACGACCTGACCGGTCGTTTTGAGCTTTTGCACTTTGATCACCAGTTCTCGGGCATGACTTGCCCCGTGTAATGTATTATGACTGAAGTAGATCGTTGGTTTTGGTTTTCAAGAAAATCGGAATGAATTTGAAGGAAACAGTTTTAGTTGAAAGCTTTGAATTTGAAAGGTTTGACCAAGGGTTGACTATTTGTATATGAGCTCGGATCGAAATTTTTATGATTTGGTTAGCTTTGTGGGGTGATTTATGACTTAGGAGCACGATCGGAATGCATTTTGAAAGTCCGTGGAAGGATTTGGCTTGAATTGGAAAAATTAGTATTTTGGCGAATTCCGGTTGATAGGTGAGATTTTGATACGAGGGTCGGAATAGAATTCCGAGAGTTTCTGTAGCTTCGTTACGTCATTTGTGACGTGTGTGCAAATCAGGTCATTCGGACGTCGTTTGGTCGTGTTTTTATCGAAAGTGTATGTCGAAAGTTTTTGGAAACTTAGGCTCGAATTCGATGAGTTTTGAGTAATTTGATATTGTTTGAGGTATTTTGATGATTGGAACAAGTTTGAATGATGTTATGGATTATGTTGGTATGTTTGGTTGAGGTCCCCAGGGCCTCGGGTGAGTTTCTGATGGTCAAACGGACCATTTTCTAAGTTTCAAAGTTGCAGATTTTCAGTTCTTATGTTGCAGAGTTTTTGGCCTTCGCGATCGCGGGGGAGGTGACACGATCGCGTAGAAGAAAATTGGAAGGCAGGTAATTTGTTCATTGCGTTCGCGATTGGGGGTTCGCGTTCGCGGAAGGTTAGATGGTAGAGCTCCGCGTTCGCATAAGACCCTTCGCATTCGCATAGAAGGATTTGAGGGTCAGGGGCCATTGCCCTTCGCGTTCACGGCTGGAGGTACGCGTTTGCATAGTTGGAAGAAGCGAAGCATCGCGTTCGCATAGCGTATTTTGGAGCCTTTGAGGATTTGTTCTTCGCGATCGCGAGGCTATGGCCGCGATCGCGATGAAGAAAGAACAGTAATGGGCACAATGTTATAATTTCATTTCATCCGCGATTTTGGGTCATTTTTTCCTCAATGGTTGATCATTTTGAGAGATTCTTGGTGGAGATTAAAGAGTGATTCAAGGGGAATCGTTTGGAGATTCGACGCGCGTGGAGGCTGATTTGAGGGGCAAAGGCGTCGCGAGCTAGAGATTTTGCCGGTTCGAGGTAAGTAATGATTGTAAATGTTGTTCTGAGGGTTTGAAACCCCGGATTACACATCGCTGTGTTACTTTGAGGTGA